CACACTGTATGACCTGGGCCTGGGGTGCATAGTAAAACAAAGTCTAGCATATACCTACTGCTACAAAAAAGTATGACTTTTTGGTGAATTTTTATATTGCTTTTGGGAATTACCGAATATTAAGTAGAGGTCTGTAGGTATCTATGACAGACTTTTTATGTCAAAACAAATATTTAGGTCATTTCATATACAATTTCATAAGTAGGTAAGCATCAAACTTTATTATTTCGTCTTCGTCGACATGTTTTCATTGGTTTCTCAAGTCTTTGTGTCGACTAGCGATCGAAGAAATAAAAAGTGAAGTGGAATAGGTAGCATTTTTTTATTTTCTTCGAGTGGAAAATTAAATAAATATCTTCGCAAATGACCCCATGACCATCCTCGGTTCGGTCTCTATAGGAAAATTTTAACTGATCGCAAAAGGCAGTGATAGTGATAATCAAAAATTCGACCTTCGTTTGCTTCAACATCCCAGACCGGACAGGTGTCATACAATTTAGAACTACATATTTCTTACCCACGGTCGATAATTTTCTATCTTAGAAACCCTTTTTTTAATCAAACAATTTGCTTACTTTTGTGTCCACTTAAGTTCGCAGCACATGGAAACTTTTTTATTATCATTTTTACGAAAAAAGTTATTCTTTATAAACATTTCTGCTTCTTCAAAAAAATAATATTAAACTATTAAAACTTGAAATAGCATGTACAGGGTGGTCAAAAAATAGAAAAATATACAGGGTGTTTCCTTAGTACGGTTCGTAACTTCGGGATGCGATTCCTTACAATATTTCGAGAAAAAAATTTCCCATAAACATGTGTTCGGAAATGCGTAGTTTCTGAGATACAGGGTGTTAAAGTTTTAGAAAAAATCGTTTTTTTAGCTCAAAAATTCCTTTTCCAATTTTTTTTTTTCAAATTTGGCAGGTTTGTTTGTGATAACGAAAGGTATCTTTTGACTGTAATATGACTTGCCTAATCTGAAAAAAATATCAAAGGTTTTAAAAAATAGTGACGTGCCATTTTTTTTCTACTTTTATCAAAAAACCCTGTATATTTTTTTTTCTGACCACCCTGTACATGCTATTTCAAGTTTTAGTAGTTTAATACTATTTTTTCAAGAAGCAGAAACTTTTATAAAGAATAACTTTTTTTCGTAAAATTGATAATAAAAAGTTTCCCATATGCTGCGACCTTAAGTGGACACACTGTATATAAAATCCAATAGCTAATAGTTTTCCTATCCCTGTCAAATTGAGATTAGGCACTTCTCAAAATTTAATTGGCCTATTTTACACGTTATTATAAGATTATTATTTTATCTAGTAGGAAGTTGCACATCCAAAAATTAATCATTTGAAATCAGAGATTGGTTTTTGTTGTCACTGGGAGCATCTACCAGGGCCGTCTTAAGGCATGGGCCCGCTGGGCCCGGGCCCAGGGCCTCGGCGCCAAAGGGGCCTCATCGCTAAGTCCACGTCCAATTTAAAATAAAATTTATAGAAAAAAAATGGAAAAAAAAATATAGGCGGGTAGCGATAGAATGCAACTTAAATGTCACAATTTACTTTGACTTTGTTCAAAACCTCTATATACGATTTCTTTTCCTCGTCAATGCACCGTTGGGAAATGAATTCAAATTTAAGTTCCGATCACAAAGTACTGAAAAGCTTATCAAAAACACGTTGGTCTTCACGTGAAGACGCAGTTACAGCTTTAAATTGTGGATACAGAAATCCAAATGAGCCTTGATACCTTAAGTGCCTGTACTTTTGCTCTTATTTGACAGGCGTTAAAAATAATCAGGGCTTTGAATGTACTCTAACCACATCATACTTATAGACCTTGGCCCATGCAAAACTTTGACAACACAACGTATCAAATTCGTTAATCAATAGCAAAGGTATCGGCCCTAAGAATGACAAATTGCAATCAGCAGATACACGTCTTACTGCAAAAACATTAAACAGCAAGATGGATGACTTAGAAACTACTTTCTTAACTATTTTTTGGAATGATATTTGGATTCGGACTAACAGAGTAAATTTGTTCATCCAAAAGGAAAACTGAAATTTGTTAGTCCAAAAGGAAAACTGAAATTTGTCTACAAATGTAATAGTTATTTACCTAACAAATGCGGAAAGTGATACTTTACGACGCGAAGCGGAGTTCGGTCAAGCCGTTAACGGCGGTAAAGGCACTTTCCGCACGTGTTAGGTACAACATTTTACCTATGAGCATCTACACATCTCCAAAAAAAGGCATTGATAATAGTTATTTACCTAACAAATGCGGAAAGTGATACTTTACCGCACGCAACAGCAGTTGACCGAACGACGCGAAGCGCAGTTCGGTCAAGCCGTTAAGGGCGGTAAAGGCACTTTCCGCATGTGTTAGGTACAAAATTTTACCTATAAGCATCTACATCTCCAAAAAAGGCATTGATAAAATTAATTAATGAATCAGATTAATTAATGAAATTAGATAAGATTTAGAAATGATCAAAAATCCATTTTCTGAAAGAGAGAGGATTTTTTATTATAAATATCAAATTCTACTTTACTGCACACTATGCGGTAAAGTGCACTTCACCGCACACTTTGTAGTCCACTTTTCCGCACACTATGCTGTAAAGTTAACTTTACCGCACACTATGCTGTGAAGTTAACTTTACCGCACACTATGCGGTAAAGTAACTTTACCGTGCGAGGTCAAGTTAGTTTTTTCAGAAAATGGATTTTTGATCATTTCTAAATCTAATCTAATTTCATTAATTGATATGATTTATTGATTAATTTTATTAATGCCTTGTTTTGGAGATGTAGATGTTCATAGGTAAAATTTTGTACGTAAACACATGCGGAAAGTGCCTTTACCGCCCTTAAAGGCTTGACCGATCAACTGCCGTTGCGTGCGGTAAAGTATCACTTTCCGCATTGGTTAGGTAAATAACTATTAAATCATTAATGGCATATATAAGAGAAAAAGAGACGATTTTGATTTTTATGAATCAAAATCCAGAGAAAAATCTGTTTAAAGGAGTACCGCGATATTAGGACACGAGTGAAAAGACCAAGTAACTTTCCTTGAAGGTAACGGGTAACAAAATATTTGAAAGAATCGGTTTTTTTGAAAAAATGTCTGACCATGTGAAATTGAAATTTCAAGAGAAGCGGTAAAACTGTCACAATTTTATGACAAAGAAACCGATGAATTAATTTTGGAATGTGACCATTTCAAATCCTATATCAGCATAGATATTGAAAAACTAAAAACACAGGAAGTAGAAATGGGGAGGAAACATGAAATTGGTATGAGAATTTGTTTTATCCATGATTTGTTAAGTACCTATTGAAAGCAAAATTTTACAAACCGTTGATTTTGAAGACATAATTCACGATTTTGCCTCTGTAAACTCTAGAAAACGACCTTTGTAATTTGTTATTTTCTTTCCACAATATATACATTACATTTTCACATTTCAAAAGTTTTTCTATTTTATTCATGTCGTATGCCCTAGAGCACCCCCCCCTGTAGGTAAGAGGCCTCCTTTGACATATAGGCCCAGGGCCTCAAGAAGTCTTAAGACGTCCCTGGCATCTACTAGACTTTTATTAACAATTTTAAAAATTGGTACCATAGGAAATGGTGTTGGCATAACCAAAACTTTGATGGTCTATTTAAGACCGGAAGTCATTTACCAAAACATTGCATTTAACTTATCTAACCTAGAGTAATTTTCGTTTAAGATATAATTTCAGACGATTTAATATTAAAGTGAACATATCAATATCACAGATATAAATGGTAAGTATTCTTGTATATTCTCTGCACTTTTCGTTCTACATAATAATCCATCGATAAAAAATCTCCTCCTTGGAGAGTTTCCTGTGCAATAAAATTCAACTATTTTCAACAGTAGAAACAGTTAAAATTTGTTTACAATCTATTTCCTCTCAGGTCATACCAAAGAATGTCATACCCATTTTGAATACAACAAATCTGAGAAATAGCTTTTGCACTCTTTCTATGTTGTCGTTATTCAAACGTTTCATAAAAACCAATATTTGATTTTCTCACTATTGCTTTTCGTACCTGCAACTTCACCAAATAAATTAGCGAGGTCGCATCAACTGAATTTTATAATTTACCTACTAAATAAGTAAGTTTAAATTCGATAATTTATCGAATTAGGTAGGTACCTAGGTACTTAGTCAAAAGAAATTTTATTACTCTTGCTTACGTTTCATTTTTGACAAGGCACAACAAGCTTATTCTGATACTTAACTAAGTCGTTAGTTAATATGCAGTGGATAAGTAACCGAACAATGCACGAAATAAGATTTTAAAAAAACACACTGTTTTAGATGTAATTAGTGCAACATATTTGTAGAAGCTAATATTAAATGCAGCTAAACGAGTTTTGGTCATATTGGTGTGATTAAGATTACAAATGTATTACTTGACTTGTAAATAACAAAATCGCATCTCAATGAATAAATAGTTCCAGATTATAATCAGGCTCCTCGATTTTCATGTTACATTAAAAATAAAAATTTAGTTGTTTTGTATGATACTTGAAAAAAGATTTCGAGTTTTGAAAGGCATTCAGGATCGTATTTCTGGTTCTCCTTGTAATAAATATAATTATTGTTGCGATATAATCGCTGGCTACTATAGCGGCGTGTGTACTGTGTTGCGATATATTTTGTCCTCAATCTTGTCATCCAAAAAAAAAAGTATCATTTATGCCCAAAAATAAAATTTCTACAAAATCTTGCAAGCTAAGGCACAGGCTACGTAAATCACCCTGTATATTCTGTCTAAGGGCTAGTGAATTGATCAACCTAATAATGCCAATCAAATAGATAACGTAGGTATATTTATCTCTAGCTATAATTATCATTCTATCAAAAATAGGCACTTCTTGTATTTTAAAGCACATCAATAACAAGATAATAAATAATTAAAAACACATAGCGTAGATAATAGTTACTTACCAACACTAATTCGTTATTAACGGGCGAAGGGTCAAGAGGCTTAAAAATTCTATATATCGCTTCCATGATATGATAATTTACTTGAATGATTAATAGGAAAAAATCTAATATTATCGGCAAGATCTCCAAAATTTGTTGTCCCACTGTTTTGGTTCGGCTAAAAATAAAAAAGAGCGTATTAATTTAAATTTTAGCTAATATGGCAAAACTGATTAATTCATTAAATGTATTCACTTACCCAAGAGACTTGTTTTGTTTATTTTTGCATTCCATATCTCTTCTATGTTATGTCTCTATTGCGTGTAGTAAGTAGGTACTTAGTATTACGATCCTATGTGATGATTCGCAATAAAGTAAAAGCCAAATACGAAATTAGTCACCGTTGCAGTCCGCGCACCGTTGTCAACTAGAGTAGTATATACCTACTGAGTCTCCACTGAGTATACTACTCTACTATAGTAGCAACTGCCTTGCGGAGCCCACCAAGGCTGTAATTTATTTATTATTATGAAACAATATTTTGAAGTCATTAATGGAATTTTACCCGTCATATTGCGTTAAGATACCTGATGCAAACAAATAGCCAATTATTTAATTATTTGTATACTGTGATGTGATAAATACAGATACCTATGAGTAACAGAGGAAATCGTTAGTTTGGTTCAAAATTATACTCATCATATTTAAAGCAGAATGAATGTGTGGAAAATATTTTTTTTTAGGTAGTAAACAAATTATGAAATATAAGACTTTAGCTTTATATGTACAGTCGTGAGCATTAAAAGTGAGACACCCGACTGACAGGTCTTGTCATTTTTCGCTATTTTGCGTAAATTAAATCAGTCTTTTCTCTACAATAGATTTTTTGTCAAATATGACAATCCCTGTCATTGCCGTAGGTATCGCTGGTGATCTCGTTTCTCAATAGGAAAAATCGGGTGTCCCATTTCAATGCTCACGACTGTATATACTTAATAGTTACATCTTTATAGCTCTATTTGCTCTTTTTTTACTAACTTCAAAAAGTGTAGGTACTAAAAGGAAAAAATCAACTCACCCCTGAATCGCAGCCTGAATAACAAATACTCTATCAAATGTACTATCAATAATCTATTTGAACCCAGTGTGAATTCTAAAATTATATTTTAAAGGAATAAATTATTACCTACATTTTCCTTCATTAATTTTTGGGAATTTGCCGCTTTTCGCTTTTTGTCAGAAGCATTTTTTTTTTTGAAAATCATTTATTTCCTTCAAACAATCTATAAATTACAATTTTATAAGTTTCTTTAATCAGTACAAAAAAATACTGGTCACAAGAAAAACAAGCTAATCTAAATATACAGTGTTTTTTTTAAATATTATTTCTCAATAATAACTTCCATCAAATACAAAAGCTCAATAAAACTAGGTTGTATTATATAATAAACATCCAAAAGACAACAATAACATACCCATTTCATAACACACTAGTGTAAAATTATGAAAAAAAAAGCAAAATAAAAAAATAATAACAATAATGAGAAGAAAAAAAAAATAATAATAATAATAACAAACAACAACTGATCTATGAAAAACACTCAATTCAACTAGTATATGTAGGTATATACATTCTATTAGATATCTTAGAAGCAGTGGCGGCTCCTATATTAGAAATGTGGGGGTTGCAATTCCAATTTCAGCTTTATCGGATAATGATCGACCACAGCATGGCTCTGCAATTAAACTTTAAACATTTTTTTGTCACCCATTTTGGCGAAGGTAATCAAATTATATTGATAAATTTATTGCGGGAAAGCTCCTCGCGTATTATGTAGGTACCAAATTTTGGTATAATTTATTTTTAAAATATAATTAGGTACTAAGATATTAGTTCTTTTTTGTTTTATTGTTTTCAACTTTTGTTTTGGGGGTTGCGCAAACCTGCAAACCTTAGGAAGAGCCGCCACTGCTTAGAAGTACAGTACAACAAACTATTGAACTAGACTTTAGACTCGAATTCACCCCTTTGATTTTCTCTTGAACCTAAAATTAAAAAGTGTCTCCATCAATTTTTTTTTGTGATATACCTACATATTTTCGAGTGTGCCAATTCTAATTTAAGAACCTCAGATCGTTCTGAGACGCTTAGACGCGACCTTAGCGGACTCAACTACCCCCAGTATTCATATGTCGACATGAAAAAAATTGAAACTTTGGGTAATTAGTCCTCTCCTTAATTTTGAAAGCCGCGGCAATTGGCATATTCGTGAAATAAATGGGCTAAAAAAAATGCAGATATTGTAGCTTTCACATTTTTCTATGTTGGTATGAAGCTCAACTAGCCTATGAATAGTTTCTGAGAAAATTAACTTTAAGTCCAAAAGTGTGCATCTTCTTTCTTCAAATGAGTCAATAACTGACACGCATAAGCTCAACTTGCGTCCTCGTTCAATTCAGTAGTTTCAAGCGAAATTATTACCAATTAAGCAAATTTTGACTTCACAAGCCTGAAACTGTTCTGTTCAATATTTTCGTGCAATGTTTTTACTTGACATTAGTGTCTAAACTCTAAAAATCATTTAAGAATGTAGATTCTGACCATTTGTGAGCCTCCATAAATTATACATAATTATGAAGGTCTATCTTGATATTTTCTCCTTATATTTTTCTTATACCCATAGTATTGTTTTCTATTTTCTTTATATTATGTTATAAACAAACTAAGTACCTACTTAAAACATTATTATTTAATGTTTATCGACAATGTAAAACTGTAAAACCTTTTCGAACAACTACGAAATTACTCTCTGCCTGGTACTAATCTTTGCTGGTGCCTACTTCTTTTAAAACTTACCAATTAGGGTTGTCTAGCCTATTTAATTGTTATTCATAACTTTATTAATGTTCTTTATATTATCGTGAGCACCCTACTGAAATATTTTATTTAACTATATAGTTTACCCCTATATAAATATTATTTATACTTAACTTTATTATTGTCCAGTATGTTATCGTAAAAACCCTATTGTAAATATTTTATAGTTTACCATTGTAAAATTCACTCGGCTACTTATTTAAAATATGGTATCCCAACAAACCAAACGCAGTCGGCAAATGAGCGGCCGCCAGCCGGCACGTTCGGTATTCTGGTGGCTGATGTAGCCATTATCTGACTTGCGTCTATATCTCAACGTGACTCCTTCAGTATGCGCGTGCGCCTACTTACCATAGAAGATTTTTAGGTTAGGTTTTTTTGTTTTGTTTTGATTTTGATCTTGTACGTTGTTACCTAAATTCCCTAATTTTGTTTCTACTGACTCTGGAATTTCTATCCACCCCGTTTAGGATAATTTTTTACTTAGCAAAAAATTAGCGCAAGAAACTCAATCTAGCCCTTAACTATTTATATCTGTAATAAATAAAACACAAAGGTACCTATGTATTTGGGTGAAAAATTTATTTTGACACAGAAAAAATCAAAATGCACATAAAATCTAAAAGAAAGTATCTATAGTCCCCGCCACAGATAATCGAGGTTCCTTCAAAAAATGATTTCTCTGTCGGCGATGCCCGGATAAGCAAAAACTGTTGCAAAAACTCTACACATAAAGAATTGAGAATAAATTTAGTCCAAGAGCATCAATTTTTTGATTTTGTTTATCCGGGCATCGCCGACAAAGAAATCATTTTTTCTAGGAAATATTGTTTTTTTCCTTCCAGCCACCAACGAATCATGCATATTTTTGGTATGTCTGCTTAAATTGCCCTGATTTGAAAATGTTTTGGAACACCAAGTACAGACATATACATATCTACAAAATTTGGATACATCTTCACTTCTGGACTTACTTCTCATTAGACTTACTCAATCACTTTTACTTATCTATAAGCCCTTTTTAATGTTTTCACTGTTTCCCTCCATCACGATACGAATCAACAGATATGTAACTACAAAAATTACCCTAAACGGAGTGAATAGAAACTTTAGGGTCAGTAGAAACAATGTTACGTTACGAAACAAGTACAAGTTCAAAATCAAAACAAAACAGGAAAACCTAACCTTAAAATCTTCTGTGGAAAGTACGCGCACGCGCATACTGAAGGAGTCACGTTGAGAAATAGACGCAAGTCATTATCTGGACCTCCATCGGTCCAGTTCGGGTATACCGGGAACGGTTTTTACGCTTTCAGGCCGAAGGTGGCTAATACTCGGAAACTCGCTACCGGGAAGCATTTTTGTATCGAGCGCCCAGTATACCGCATTCGGGTAACGTCGTATTAACCGAGGCCTGTCTCATAACGAGCGTCTGATTTCCCGATCGATTGTCAAGCTACCGTACGCTTGATACTAGTCTTCTGCGAAATTATGGATCGGCGTCCAACAATTCAGTTTTTTTTTTATTGTTTATCATTTATTATGCACTGGCCAGAAAATTATATGTACAACATTGTCGATTCCAGCGAAATACGAACTAATTTCAAGACTAAGCAGGAAGTCGAGGTAAGGGAATAAGTAAAAGCAAAATTATGTTTTATCTACATAACCTTACCATGAATAGAATACCATGGCGAGATAGAATAGGCCACTTTCAAGTTTTTTCGAAAACATTTTTGAATTATTGTGTTAGCCATTCTTCCAATGACATTATCATCTGTATACTTTTTTCTCCAAAAAAAACGCCTATTTTTTGAAATATGTTAGAACGATTTAAAAATCGAATTTTTAAAGCAGGTAAAAATTAACAAGATTTTTGCTATTTACTTAGGGATTTGTATACCTGCAATCGTTATTTGACAAATGCGGAGATTAGATTCAGGCAGATGTAAATAATTATTTATGATGTCTCTAAGTAACAAAACTAACCAAAACTAACCCAAATTGGAGCTGAGCAAAAGGTTAAGGTAAGGACAGCCTTAGGGTTAGTTTGGGATAGTTTGTTAGAGACAGCATCAAATAACTAGGCAAATAGCAAAATCTTATTAATCTTTAAGTTTTTTGCTACTTTCCATTCCACTTAGTGAACTACTAGAATTAAAATTGCTTTACGATTTGACTACCAGAACCAAAATTAAACTAATACATATTATCAAGTAGCTTGATGGTGAGTAGCCAGGAAAACTCAAAAAGATATTCGAGACTGTAGGCGCGAGTCGCGAGTATCGAGCATACGGTAGTCCGAGTGATTTTCGTACTACCGTGCGCTTGATACGTGCCGAGGTCGGGTACCCCGAATGCGGGTTGCTGGACGCTCGATACAAAAATGCTACCGGGAAGCCCTATTTTGTGCCAAAGCCGATCCGCAGTACGCTTTGCCAGTTACGTAGTCCATCTTCCGGACCACATACGGTTAAGAAGCGGTATACCGCTCTGGTACCTCGTGTCATGCGCGATTGAATTTCGCGCCGTTTCATGAACAACTCGGACCGCTGAGAGGGCGTTCGTGTCTCCCTCTCCACTTAACCGAATCGTTGTCATCGCG